ATATATATATCTTTTTTCTCTTTTCTCTCATTCTAGATTTGTTTGTTAGCTTCACCCTTAAGCTAGCATTTGGCCATATATCCCAAATTTATTTTGAAAAATCTGATTTGGTTGAAGTTTGGTTTGAAGATGAAAATGTGTTTGGACATATGTTTTCAAAATATATTTTTCAATTTTATTTTGGAAAAATATGTATATAATTCCCAAGTTTTGGGTTTGAATTTGAAATTTGAAATTTGGCCAAAATATGACCAAAATTTATATCCAAACATGAGTTTGAAAATAAATCCCAAATAAATTCCTACACATCAATAAGGATAAAGGATTTTTATCCAATGCCTAGTATTGTTCCGTCTTTAATCCACGCTTTTGTTTTGCACTAGTAATAATCAACATCATATTTCCAAAACTCCACAACAAACTTTGCGCATATTCTTATACTAACAGCCAAATTTTGGTGTATCCAATTCTAAGATTCAGACCGTGATTAGTCCACCAACACGTGAATCACTTGTATACTGTTTTCTGTAATTAGCTTTTGGCCATGACTTTCTCTTCATTGTTTTCCCGTTTACGTTCTTGCTCAAAACCCATTTGCAATAATCTACAGCGAACTTCAATTTTCCAGAGACCCCAAATTCCATCTTCTAGCCTTACAGATCCTGTAATTTGCTCAAGAAAAACACCTTCAAATAATTCATGGATTGCTTCTTTAATCCCTTTAGCCTTTGCTGTCTCTGCTGGTTCTCTTGCTCTCCACTCACACTCACTCTGTCTCACTGATGCTCCACTTTTTGACCCAAATAGGTATTCACTATATTCATAAATTAGTAATGCCATAAATATTTCCCTGAAGTAGAATTATTACCTCACAGTTCTACCCTTTTGTGTTGTGTTTTAACAATTGGAAAGAATAGAAATTTTCTTTTGGTATTCTTGAAAATGAACTTTTTTTTTTCTTCTGAATATTTATGTGGGATATAAGAGAAATTAGAATAATGATGGTTTTAACTATTTGAAAAAATGATACTTCTTTTGGTTTAACAATTTGGAATTTGATTTTTCTTAGAGCTTATGTATGAATAATTCATGTTGGCTACTAGGTAATTTAAAATAATGATGGTCATCGGAAAGAATTGCAATTTCTTTCTTTGTCAAAATGAGCATGTATCTGAAACATAATCATGTTGGACAATCAGAAAGTTACATGCTTTGACCTAGAAGATGCTGCGTTTCAATATTAGAATGTTTGGAATGAAATGGACTTGAATATAGTGAAATCGATAGAGATGATTCCTGAGATTGAGGCATAATTGATTGATTGAATAGTGAAATTTGTCAGGCGAAATATAAATTGTTCATTGATCTTTTCGATGATTTTGAAATGTCGACATTGATTTTATTTTGTCTTTGGGAAGTGTGAAAATTGGTGGCAAAGATAGCACAGATTATGTGGTAAAAGGTTATCATAGTGAAATTCCTCCACAGCTTATAGAAGAGTTGAAGGCAATTTGCCAGGTATTGTATTCTTAATATTGTTTCTTTGCTTAATGTATTTGGTATATCTGGATATAACAATTTGGTTCTTGATTTGCTTCTTAAATACAAGGATTTATCATGCTTTCTCATTCTTTAACTAATTTAGAATTCTCTTCACGGCTAGCCAAGCCTTATAAATCTATAGCAGCACAGACGGAGCTAAGTTGAAGAAAGGGGTTCAATTGAATCCCTTCATTGAAAGCTTACACTGCACAAATAGGGCAAACCGACTTTAATTTTTATTTTTTATATTTAAACTGTTGAATCCCTTAACATAAGGAAAAATTCTAGTAAAATGGTAAAGGGAGTTCAAAAATTGCTCTAGGTGTGACATTCTAGTATTTCTTTGAATCCATTGTATAATTTCCTGGTCCTGCCGTTGTTTGAAGTTATGATAATTTTCAGTATATTGTGGAATTTTTTAGATAGATTTTAGTTGGTTTGAGGTCGTTATAACTTTATTATTTAGGATAACATGACATTGGATGAAGATGAGAGATACGTTCATGGGAAGCCTCAGAACAGCTTCCATAAAGCAGTAAACATCCCTGATGTCGTAGTTTATCCAAGGTCAGATTCATTCTTTGGAACAAGATTTCTATTCTTATTGCTTTCCCTCCTTCTTAATTCTTTGTTCTATTACAGTTTTGTTTCTATTCCTTTGTAGACCAGGATTTGCAGTCTATATAAGTTTTTGTCCGATGTAGGATGTATTCTTAACATGTGTTTTACGTCAGGCGTCCCCTCTCCCCAAATCATAAATAGATTGAACAGAGAAACACAATGAATTCAGCAGGCTAAGTTTGTCTTGAAAGTTAAGGAGGGTTTGTCTTCTGGATTCCCTAGTCTCAAAGACAACATGGTTGTTTTTTCCCCTCATTCTAAGATAATTTTTGGTTTTCCGCAGATGACAGTGCTTTTGCTTACTGTTATCTTCTTGAGCAGCATATTAATAGTTAACATGTTTCCACCTTTGTATCTCCAAGTAAATGAAAATTAGATTTTTCACCTCCTATACAGACCTGATTAATTGCAATTTCAAGTGTCACCTTGGACATTGTGGTAAGTCAAACTATCACATGGTACAGACAAGTAATCAGTGTGCATTGTAAGATACTTCTAAACTTAATGCTGGCAAATTCCATAGTATTAGAAATTAGTAGTACGTTTTCTCTTTCTTGAGAATGATATGTTTGCCAGTGTTGCCATTTGAAAGATCCTGTTGACAATGTAAGGAAAACAAAATCAATTGAAGATGAAGAACTAGTTATCGGCTTGCATATCATTATGCCTTCAAGATCAATAAATCACTACAAAAACCTAGCTTTTTAAACAAGGTGGAGCTATAGCTATTTTATTGTTCATGGTGATTGCTTTTTTCTAATTGAAAAACATAATGATTATCATTCAACTTGTTCTCCCAAATGCAGGTCTGAGGAGGATGTGTCTAAGATAGTTAGGTCTTGCAACAAGCACAAGGTCTGTATTGCACTTCGGACTATTTTGTCCCTATTATTTTGCATTAACTTTTGTACGGAAGGCAATGAATTAGCACTTGAGCTTTCTCAATCATTAATTTGTAGATGGAAGTGGCGATCTCCTATGTCTTTTGTGCTGAAAAGTAACTTGAGTTTCTTATGCTTAAATGACATAGATACTATGCAGTAAGTACAATGAAATACCCTTAGCATTAGGGGCTGTTTGGTCACTCACATTATGGAAATACTCCCGGTACAAAATTCCAGATTAACAGTTGGGTGTCTTGGTTGCATTTTTTACATGTGGAATAACAAAAGGCGTATTAACAATACCTGCACAAGAATACGTAAATGATAAAGGTGTCCTTTATATTGTTGCGTGTTTAGTTAACCATTTCTTTACGTAAATTGAAAAGATGTCCTATATATTGTCACTTGTTTAGTTAGTCATTTCTTACTTGATATGTTTCATTTGCCTTGAGTAATTTTTTTAGTATTTATTTTAAAGTTATAGGAATGTGTTTAAAATATTTTTCATGTTAGTAGGGGAATGCAATGATTATTTCTCCATCTATTTCATATTGTAGTGTACCTTATTTTATATATCCTCTTACAACCGTTCTTTATTTGATACGATACAGATTACTCACTCTGTTTCAATTTAAATGACACACTTTCCTTATTAATGAGTTCCAAAAAAAAAAGACACATTTCTATATTTGGAAACAATTTAACTTCAAACTTTTCATTTTACCCACTATGCCCTTAATGATAAGCTTTTATAGTCACAAAAATGTCGTGGCCCCACAAAGCTTTTGCCCCTTAAGCTTTTAGGACCACATGTTCTAAAAGTCTTTTTTTTTTTCTTAAACGTTGTGCCAAGTCAAACTATAAAATATATTTAATTTTTTTGATAATTTTGCTAAATATTATAATCAAAGTATTATTGGATAGAATAATGTTGTCAGGCCAAGCGTAGTATTGGAAGCAAGTCTCTATCCAATTTCTAACCAAATACAAGTTTTAGATTAGACACTAAGATGTAATGCGGTTAGCCAAGCACCCAATAACCAATACAAATAGTCCTGTGATTGTTATTCACCCGTAATGCAATAGTTATATTATAATCTGTGCATAACTTGTCAATGAACCATATGTTCCTTAGTGAATTCTTGTCAGAAACCTTGACTATGCAGTTAATATGATTTTATACTTGTTTCATTCATGCACATCATCCAGTTCGATACAGGAAATTGTTGTTGCAGGTCCCTATTGTGCCCTACGGAGGAGCTACCTCTATTGAGGGACACACCTTATCCCCCAACGGCGGTGTTTGCATTGATATGACATTGATGAATGTAAGGCTTACTTTTGAAATTTTATTTATTTTTTGGAGGAAGGCTTTTGAAATTTCATTTATGCACCGTCCTATTTAATTCGATTAAGTCACATAATTATACCTCCTTATGGATCAGAAGGCAACAAGGAGATTGACGAGGATGTTACTCACCGCATTGGAGCGGGATAGATGAGATGGAGGCTAGCTTCGGGGGGTTTATGCGATAAGAATGTGCCTCCTAGACTTAAGGGCAAATTTTACAGGGTGGTGGTTAGACCGATTATGTTGTACGGATCTGAGTGTTGGCCCGTCAAGAAGTCCCATGTCCAGAAGATGAGCGTAGCTGAAATGAGGATGTTGAGATGGATGTGTGGACATACTAGGAAAGACAAGATTAGGAATGAAGTTATTAGGGACAAGGTGGGAGTAGCAGCCATGGAAGACAAGTTGCGGGAATCGAGGTTGCGATGGTTTGGGCATGTGAGGAGTAGAGACATAGATGCCCCGGTCAGGAGGTGTGAGAGGTGGACCATGGCGGAGAGAAAGGGCAGGGGTAGGCCAAATAAGTATTGGGGAGAGGTGATTAGGCAGGACATGTCAGTGCTTCACCTAGCCGAGGATATGACTAGCGATAGAAAGGTGTGGAGGTCGACGATTAAGGTGGTGGGTTGACCGGTAGTTGTGAGTTTCTCCCAGGGTTACCAGTAGTACTAGTAACATTATTGTTGCCGGTTGAAAGATACTTTCTTCTTGTTTGTTATTATAACTGGTACTTAGCAGCCAAGTTCATTATTTTTGTAAATTGCTACTGGAAATTGTTGCTCCGTAATTGTTACTATTTGATGTTATTTTTTTCTCGACTTTTACTAGAATTGCTGCTCCCTCATTGATACTATTTAATGCTACTATTTTCCCCCCTTTGACTTATCGTCCTTTGTCTCCTTCATGTTTCTTTCTTTCCCCTATTCTTCTTCTTCTTCTTCTCCCCTCTCTTCCTCTCCACACTTTCTTGAGCCGAGGGTCTATCGGAAACAACCTCTCTACCTCTCCACGTAGGGGTAAGGTCTGCGTACACATTACCGTCCCCAGACCCCACATGGGGGATTATACTAGGTATGTTGTTGTTGTTGTTGGATCAGAAGGATAATAAACCACATTTGGTTGTTATATGTTTCTTGATAGTATCTTGTCAACCATCTTGACATCAAATCCTTTGGAATTATGTATTCTTAGAGGTGATAATACTGATGATAAAGGTATTGGTCCTTACTTTTGGTGTTTTTTTCTTTCTGAAAAAGACTATTGTAATAAACTGATGATGCCATCTGGCTTCTCACATAGGCTTGATATCCGGGATCGTTGGAAACTCATATTTAATGTGCTGTATGTTTTATGGTTTGATTAAACTTGTTAGGGTCCATCATTAACCAGTTGAGATTTAGTGCATCAACGATCAATAGAAGTTTCTTCATAAACCAAGATCCATGTATTACATATAATAAAATATCCCAATTAGTTATTGATTTACTATGGAACTGCCCCATTTTAACGCAACATAACTAGTGTATACTGAGGAAATTGCTCTTATGATAGTCCACGGGGAAAATTTTGTATATAACAGAAGGGCAAAGTGGATTATCAAGATCAGCTTTTGCCAGATACTCTCAGTGTTTTCTGAGGTGCTTTGGCCCTTCACCGACTTCTCTTTATACCACCCTGTTATTAGTTATTTTTCCTTTTTGCTGGGAATTTTACCTATAATGCGGTGGCAAAAGAAAAAAAAATCTAACTTTTATGTTATGAAAATATTGATTTCGTTCATCTTTATTAAGTTTGATGCTGCAATGGCAGTTAAAAATGAAGGCTGTCTTTGCAATTGCAGTTATGAAAAAATTGCCTTTGCTATGGCATTTCTGCATTATAGTTCCTGATTCTGTGTCCCCATTACTTACTTTACTGTGAACTACTCAAAATGTAGCGTGTTAAAGCTTTGCACGTTGAGGACATGGATGTGGTGGTTGAACCAGGCATTGGATGGATGGAGCTCAATGAATACCTGAAGCCCTATGGTCTCTTTTTTCCCCTTGATCCTGGTTAGTCCTGTTATCTTCCTTTTGTTAAAAGTGTTCATAGTTTTCCCTACCCTTACTCTCTTTATCTTTGAATAAAATCCTTTGTTGTGCTTTGAGATGATTTTCAAATTTATGATTTATTTTTTTATAAGTACTGCTAAGTAGTAACCCTAAACATTGTGTAAACACAATGGTACTAACGTGTTCTTAATATATACACACTCAATATTGATGTTTTTCATATATGTGATTTAAGCATTTACAAAGATCTTAATTGTTAGAAAAGTAAGAGATGGTGAAAGCACTCTGAAAGTAAAGCAGAAACATAAGAGACATAATTTTTTACAAACAACATATTCTATGCACAGGTTTGCGATATTTGGAGTGATGTAGAGAACGACAGATCTATCCACTCGACTGCTATATGATCTTTTTAGTTGCCATACTATAACAATATTTTTCTCAAATATGTATCAGTGAATTTTGGGTTCAGACTATGTGTAAGTTGTTTTGAATCTGGTGGTAATTGCTTCAAATAATTGAAAAAACCACTTTCATGATTGGTTAGTAACGTGAAGCTCTCCTTGTTGCTGTTTAAGAAATATGGCGAAAGGTGTTTCTGTACTATTCCCAAAAAAAGGAATCAAGAACATGGTATTGATTTCCAACTGTAAAATGTAGAAGAAAAGGTTTAAACTAGTTTGGTATTACAAAACTCTTTCCAAAGTTACTTATCAAAAATAATAAAATAAAGAACCTTTTTGAAGAGATCTATTTAATCCTTTTCAGTTTAAATTGATGCAACTAAGATGCAACATGGGTTAAGATAGTATGCTGAGCAGAAATTATATCTTTTCATTTTTTTCTTTGAATTTAAACCCAGCTAAATCATTGTATTGTCAAAGTTGTGCCTTTGTTATCATAGAGGTTGTATTTCAGTTTAGTGCCCTAGAAGAAGCTTCGGATCCCAAATCTATAGTTTGACTCACTTTCATTCCTTTCTTACAGTTAGTTTTTGTACTAAAATTCATGTGAAAGGATCTGAGCATCCAACCTAAAACCTTAAGGTATTTAGTGAAGTGGCTTTAAAGGCTAAAACCATTATAGATCTCTCAGAATGCTATTTTTATACCCGATGAGAACACTATATAAATATACACTATCCCATATGTGTAACTCAATTCTTTTGTTCAAGCAAGGACTTCAATACATATTTAAGTGTGAGATTGGGCAAAGATTGGCTCTGATAGTATGTAAAAGAATCTGAACATCCGGCCTTAAACTTTGAGGCAATGGATGGAATCGCCTAAGGCACTAGAAACCCTGTTGGATGGCTTATTTATGCCCGATACATGATGCTATATAATTCAACAATTCCAGTTGCTGCAACTTTTGTTTATTAGTTCTGATTGACCTATAATTTCCGGAAAAGATAGAGTAGAACCAGAAAAAGTTACAATTTTGGAGATGATCTCAAATTCTCGGCTAATTTGGTATCAAGTCCAAAAGTTCCTCGCACTGTGCTTTATTTCATTGTTCCATTAACTATATCCAAAAGCCAACTTTTTACATTTATCTATTATAAAAAATACAATCAAAGTCAGCCAAATTTGTAGTGGAAAAAAAAGAAAACTTTCAAGTCAATTTCCTTTCTCCATATATCCAGAATTACAGTTCAATTGGCTGCATCACATTACATGAATGAATTAAAATGCATCCGAATATTCATCTTGATCTATTTCTCCAAAACTGGTCCGGGTTACAGATAATTGTAATTGTATGCCTATCTTTATTGATCAGCAGTGATTTTGGTTTAGCTGTCTTCATGTTTAGTATCATTTTCAGTGGACATGACTCTAAATCCTCTTGCTATTAGCTTGTATGTCCAAATTTTGTTACCTGCCTTTGCTGTAATCCCTTTCTTTTTCCATGCTCCATTGTCGATTTGAAATTTTGTAACTCTTATATATGAAGTCTCTACTTAACGCAGATGATATTTCATCTGTATGTTCTTAACTTTTGAGATGTGTGAACATGCCATGTTTCAGGACCTGGGGCAACCATCGGGGGAATGTGTGCTACACGGTGCTCTGGTTCTTTAGCTGTGAGGTAGTTGCTCTGAGACTATTCCCTTAGAGATAATCTCATCTTTCATGTTTGTTGCTGGAAAATGTTCTCTAACTATATTTCGTGTGCTTTCATACTTTAATTCCTTTCTTTTTGTTTTTTGTTTGTTTCCGTAAAGAGTTATCGGAAACTTTATAGCAATACTATGAATAACAAAGACATCATGTGATTTCCAATTTTTTTTTTCTAATATTTTCTTGATCAAGTGTAATTTCATTGATGAACACAAAAGCATATCAAGATAAGTGGTTGGGAGGGCTCCGAACCTGCAACTAAGCACATCTGCCAGAATATCAGTGTACCGTTTCATCCACTTGGATTATCACACATTTTTTGAGGTTGATCTTGAGTCCATCACAGTCTGAAACCACATAAGCACCTGTGTCAAGGCTTCCAGCTGGTTACCGTCGGCTAGTGCTGGCAAATGGGTGGGTGAGATTGGGTTTGGGCGGGTTGATAACTGGTTGAGTAAAAATTGCTCAAACACCCAACCTGTCCATATTTAAAATAGGTCAAGAATGGGTTGTGTGACAGGTAGTTTGGGTAACTCATATTCTGTACAAGAATTAAATACCAGTTCCTATTTTGGCTCCTCACTGTCATCATGATAACCTGGAAGAATTGAATTCCCACTTGTGGCTGTTATGTCTCTTAATTGTAATCATCTATAAATAACCACGTGCCAAATGAAATAAGTGGCCAATAATCAATGCCTCCACCACCCCTGCCTTACATCCCTATCTTCTCGGCATCATCACACAGTGACATCCTCAACCTCTATCCTACCCCATCACCTTTGCTATCTCGTGCCTCTTTGTTACTATCCATTCCCCACCCACCCCATCTTGTTCCTCCAACCCATTTTGCTAGTGGTGATATTGATGCAGAAGATGCCCACCAGGTCGGAGATGCTTCCTTGCAAAAACTTCCATCCAGTGCCAACACAAAATGGATAACTTTGACAACGTTCAGCTCTCCCTTTCCTAGCCCACTAGTCAGTTCTTCTCGTTGGATTTCTTTCTTTGGCAACATGGATGCCAGGGAAAATAGTACCGTTGTTACATCTTCCGATCCAATCAATAAATCTCCAATAAACGTGGTATTTCTGCGAGGGAGATGGTTAGGGGTGAAAGATTTAGGGTGTACAATAAAGCTCGCTATGGAAATAGTTATGGAGATTTCAGGTGGAGGAGCATGCTTTATGGAAGGAGGTAGTAGTTGAGAAGTATGGTACTGTGTGGTGGTGTGTGTGTGTGGGGGAGGGGGGGGGGGGGCTAAATCTATTTCAGACCACTTTGGGTGTAGTATATGGAGGGGTGGGAAGACTTCTGTGGTCATATTACTTTTAGGGTTAGGGATGAGAGAACAATTAGCTTGTGGAACCGTAAGTGGTATGGGAGGACAAATTGAGGGTATCATTCCCTAATGTGTTCAGAATTTCGAACCAGAGCGATTTGTCAGTCCAACAGATTCGAAGGGTGCATAATGGGGAAGTGCTTTGGGCTCTAAGGTTTAGGAGAAATCTACAAGAATGAGAGTTGGGGAGTTCCAAAGGTTGCTGAAGGTACTATATAAGCATATCATACATCCATCTAATAAGGATTCATGGAGATGGGCATTGAGGAGTGAGGGCTTATAGCCGTTTGGCCAAGCTTCTTTTGAGCCAAAAGTATTTTTATTTGGGCAAAAGTACTTTTTTCCGAAGTTAAGGTGTCTGACCAAGCTTTTTGAAGGAAAAAAAGTGCTTTTGAGTAGAAGCAGAAAAAAGTAGTTTCTCCCAAAGAACACCTTTTTGAAAAGCACTTTTGAGAAAAATACACTTAGAAGCACTTCCTAAAAGTTTGGCAAACACTAATTGTGTCACGACCCAATTTCCCCTCCGTTGGGTTTCGTGATGGCACCTAGTCTTAAGGACTAGGTAAGCCCTAATAATTGCGGAATAACAACAATGAATAATAACATCTAAAATTCTTCTGAAATAAATCCCTTATACAATGAACATCTTCCCAAAATTCGGTAGTACAAGTCATAAGCTCTACAGAGTTTCGCTACCATTTCTAAACACAACCGTATGGAAATAAGTACAGCAGTGAGAATATAAAATAGGAAGGTGACTCTGAAGCCTGCGAACGCAGCAGCAGGGCTACCTTGAGTCTCCTCGGCAAGAATCCGTACAGCTACTAGCGAACAATACCTGGATCTGCACAAAAAAATGTGCAGAAGTGTAGTATGAGCACAGCACAGCGGTGCCCAGTATCAAGACTAACCTCGGTGGAGTAGTGACGAGGAACAGTCGAGACACCTACTGGTCAAATGAAATGAACAGGATATGATAATAAAATATCGCGATAAAGATAACGAGGTAATATCAACAGCGGAGAGAAATCAAAAACAAACAGTAGGAACAATAAAGGGAGAACACGGATAATAACGAACGATACCAAGTAAATCAGATAACCAAGTAAATCAACATTGACATAACAGGAACAGAGACAAGTAAGAATGTATCCAAATAAAGAAAACAATGCCAACTCAATCACTCACATCATGTCTAATACACAATCCCGACCATCTCAATCCTCGGTTCCTCACATCATAATCTCAAATTCCGGACCTTCAGTGCATATGGCACCTTGTGCTCCCATATTTTCCTTCTCACTCTTAACAAAAGAAATCCACATGCTATACAATACATAATATCCGTACAAATGCACTCAAGATGTTCAAGAAGTCTCATTTACCTAATATAAGTAAATTACAAATTCTAAACTGATTAGGAAAGCCAGCGAGAAAAGATGAAGTTATTTTTAGAAATCATTTGAATAAAGAAAGTACCATTTTCAATCAGAATACAACATCGAATGAATTATTACCTTTACCATGGGATTTAATAATTTACAACTTAGTAGAAATTCCTTTTAAGTAGAATACAACCTCAGACGATTTAAGGAAAATTTAGTTGAGAAATTAATTGAGTCAAAAATGTAGAAATAAGCATAGTTGAAGATTTGAAATATATATATATATATATATATATATATATATATACACGTACGTAGTTATTAACT